AAAAAAAAATTTTAAAAACTTTAAATTTTTACAGAATTGGTCACTTTTTTTAAAAAAAAAAAATCCAGACAGCATTTTTTTTCAAAAAAAAATTTATTTATTTTTTTAAGAAAAAGGTCTTTTATGGTGTTTTTAAAGAAAACCTGAAATTCTCTCACTAAAATGGATGTTTTTTCATTTCAATTTCCATTGCAATAAAAGGGAATTTTTTTTGACCAGCTCTAGTTTACACACACAATTCTTCTTCTTATGCCTGGTCTACACTACAGATCTATATTGGTATAACTCAGTCACTCATGGGTGTGAAAAATCAACACCCTTGAACAACATAGTTATACTGACCTAATCCGCAGTGTAGACACCGCTATGTCGTGGGAGAGCTTCTTCCACCAACTTAGCTACTGCCTGAGGGCTTGTCTACACTTACTGGAGGATTGATGCTGTGGCGATTGATGCATCGGCAGTCGATTTAGTGGGTCTAGTGAAGACCCGCTAAATCGACCGCTGATTGCTCTCCCATTGACTTCTGTACTCCACCTGATCAAGAAGAGCAAGGGGAGTCGATGGAGGAGCATCTCCCGTTGAGGTCACATAGTGTGCCCCCTGCAGTAAGTAGTCCTAAGCTACGTCAATTTGAGTTACAGTATTCACATAATGTCCTCAAAGGAAACCACTGGTGCAAGTACGGTGGTACGGTCTGGTACACTGAACCAGTAAGATATTTATAGCTGGTATGGCATACTGGAAAGACACCGGAGATGGCCCCAGCCCTTCCACGCAGCTGCATCTCCTGAGTCCTCCTGCCGGGGTCTGTACAGCAGTCTTGTCAGAGAACAGGGCTGGGGGCAATACAGCAACCGTGCCGGAGGAGCTGCCGGCAGCCCCATGTTCTGCTCCTTTCCCTGCTGTGATTCTTGGGAGAGCCCTGAACCACAGGCCTATCCCTGGAACTGCAGCAGGGAAAGGAGTGGAACGTGCAGCTCCTCCAGTGCAGCTGTACTGCCCTGACTCCTTCCCCCGGCCCTGTCCTCCGGCAGGGCTGCTGTACAGACCCTAGGCAGGAGGACTCAGGAGACGCAGCTGTATGGCAGGGCTAGGGGCAGGCTCCTCCTGTGTCTATCCACTATGCCATACTGGCTATAAATATCTTACTGGTATGGCGTACCAGACCGTACTCGCACCACTGGTTTCCTTTGAGGATGAGGTCAGATATAGAATGATCACTTTGTGAAAAGTGTATAAACTTCAATAGTAGATTCCCAAACTCCCTTACCAGGAACAAAGGAAGGGAAAACATTGTGGGTCATGTGTGTTAAAGATGTAATTGGATACTAACTATCCCAGATAGGATACCTCCCTCTAATGGTCCAAACCCCCATATTAAGTTAGAATTTATTTCGGTTTATTTTCTTTATTGTTTCTTTCTTTTTTTGTCATGCAGACCCCTCTGGATGTTGTGATTTATACAGGAATTGTTGCATGGACCAGCAAATGGAGCCAGACTGAGTCCATACTTCATTATGGGCAAGCCCTCTGGAATCTTTCAGTTACAGCCAGCAGCTGCCCAGAGGCTCCTGTCTGCATTAGTTACCAGTGATCTTGGATTTTGCTCTTCTTTAAATATGTATAATAAACATCAACAATACAAATAACGAAACCCCTACAGCAGCTGAAATATAAATGAATAGAACCAAAACACTGAATAGTATGAAACCACCGCTCTCATGACGACATTGGACAAATATGCAAATGAAACAACCTTATCATGGTCTGTCACACCCTCATGTTAAAGGCAAAATATTTCCTTTGGGGGCTTGTCTACCTGGTGCTTTATTCCACACCAGAGGGGGTGTGAATTCTAGCGTAGCATGTCACACACTAATTGGCCAGTGTGGACCTGTTGGTGCATACTAAAAGTTCCCTACTGTGCATAAATGTAGTGCTGTTTGAAATGGGACCACATTAACACACACTAGGGAACCTTTAGTACATGCCAGCAGGGTCCATGCCGGCCAGTTAGCGTGTGACACACTAATGTACACTAGAATTCAGACCCCTCTAGTGCAAGGTAAAGCACCATGTAGACAGGCAACCTTAAATAATGCTGGGCTTTCATTTTAAAATATAATATAAATCACACAAAACAAGAAAGTTGGGGGAAAAAACAAAACCAGAAAGTCAAAGTCAAAACAAAACACTGCATTTTGGTTTAGAATTGTTTCAAAATGTTACCATGGAAAATCATGGAAAATGTAATTAAAATTGATGAAATGGCGTTATCCAACAGAAACCTGTTCCATCAAAAATGTCTCAGCCAGCTCTAGCTCTAACAGTGAACTCTGCAGTCTGGAGCAAATTGGCCCATTGGATGATTTCCGTCATCACTCATTCTTGGAAAGGCCAGCCACTGACAGCAGCACTAGCCAGCATAGTCCCTTGCATGACCTGACCACAAGGACTCTCATTCTGCTCCACTTCTGCAGGGCAGGGATGGAATCCTTGTTTCTCCTCCCCTCCATTGCACACTGGCACAGGAGTTAGGCACAATCTAGACCCAAATGAGTAAAGAGGGAAGGATAACCAATTTACATCCAGAAAGGTAATGGTGGAAGAGGGATCAAATAACTTCACAGAATGTAACAGATATGTAAGTTCTGCTGCCTGCAAAGCACACTGCTACAGATGATAAAAAAACCCAACAACCTTAGGGTCACTTGAAAATAATTTGTGGCAAATTCACACTATAAAAATATTTGGAACTAAAAGCTCTTGTCAATTGTGCACTTGGCATTTCTAACACCAGCTGATGTACTTCCATCTTGATAAAAACTTCTCTTTCCTCTCCCTGTTTAAGATTATTATTTGAATTAAGGCAGCACCTAGGAATCCCAATCAAGACTAGATAAGTGCTGTAGACACAAAGAAGTCATTGCCTTCCCCAGAAAGCTCACAGACTAGGTGTCAGACAGGATGCAAGAGGTGGACAAAACAGGTAACTAGGATGTGGGTGGATGAGAAGACAAGGTGATGAGAAAATAAACAGAATTTAGAAGGAAAGCAGAAGTCACATCTCATCATTTGCCTAACCAATGCCTTTAACATGAGGGTGTGACAGGCCATGGTAATGGACCGTGTTGTACAATATGCCACGGGGCATTTGTTTATCATTGTTCAGGCTATGTTTTAGTCATGCGTATTTTTAGTAGAAGTCATGGACAGGTCACAGGCAGTACACAAAAATTCATGGCCCATGACCTGTCCGTGACTCGTACTATATACCCGACTAAATCCTGGGAGTGCCGTGGGTGCCAGGGCGGGAGGGAGGGAGAAGCCTGGTGAGGCGCTGCAGGTGCTGGAGCAGGGGGCATGTGGCCTGGGGCCCCAGCTTGTGCTGGGGGCGGGAGATGGGACATTGGCGAAGCTGGCAGGCTCCCTATCTGGCTCCTTGCAGCTCCTGGGAAGCAACATGTCCCTCCCTCAGCTCCTAGCTCTGCATACTTACCCCACTCTAAACACCAGCTCCGCAGCTCCCATTGGCTGAGAACCACGGCCAATGGGAGCTGTGGGGACGGTGCCTGTGGGTGGAGGCAGCATGTGGAGCTAAGAGCTGAGGGAGGGAGAGACATGCCACCACTTCCAGGGAGCCCCCCAAAGTAAGTGCCGCCCGGAGCCCTCATCCCCTCCCGTGCCCCACCTTGCAGCCCTGAGCCCCCTCCAACCCCAAACTCCTGCTGCTTCTCAGGTGGCCATGGGCCAGCCGTACCGGCTGCTACAGAAGTCACAGAGGATCTGGAAAGTCACCGAATCAGTGACTTCCATGGCCTCCATGACAAACTCACAGCCTTACTCATTGTCTACACTCACTCAAGGGAGGCGTTCAGCAGCCAGACTTTGTTGATGATACTTGAGAGTGTGAAAGAGGTTTTCTGATTTCTGAACCTCATTTAATATACAAGGATGTGTAGCTAAACTGGAAAACTGGAGAACCCTTCCCTCTTGTCTTTGTTTGAAGAGGTCACTGAGAAGAAGAAAGTCTTCATTTTACACATCTGGCTAAAAGTGCATCTGACCTTTTAATATTAAACTTGTCTAATACGTAAATCATCATAAAAAAGCAGTATTCAGTGCTATCACTGTAGGAGGTTCTATCTGTTTTTTGCAATTATTTCAAGTTAATATCTTCCTATGAGATCCCAAACCAATTTGCCTATGAATCCATCATCTCTCCTTTATTAGTATCAACCATTACTGCTTCATAATCAATTTTTCTCATTCTCTGGTAGATTGCTTGTCCTCTTTTTTAATCAGTAAACTCGGCCCATGAGTCAGAATCTGTATAAACAATACCTAACGTTGTTAAGGTTGATATTGAAAACCTCACCTCATAAAACAGACTCCATTTTATAGCCTGATCTCTGAGTCATGGTCAGGTGAGATGTGGGAGTGCTTAGAGAATCAGAAGGAATTTGTGACAATTTTTGTAAGAGAAAGGGTCACAAACCCAGTGGCCTGCCTAAATTCCAACTCAGGTAGTTATATGTTACCAGCCTAAATCCCACCTGCAGTAGGGAATGGATACAGTATTCCTATTTTATAGCTGTGTAGTGTGACTGAGCACTGGTTTAAAAGAGTGCAGCAGCACTCTCTTTCAAAGGTGACTGCATTTTAGCAGGGAGTGATGTTGGGACTCCGTCCGAGAACTTTTCCAGTCCACTTATCCAGATTACCTTGTCCAGTTCTGGGAGAAAATTGCACCCGGTTCTCCGAGATCCCAAAACACTCAGTCTTGTCACTCAGGTTACTTTATTAGGCATGTAACAGTTCTTTTCCCATGCTCGCCAGGCCCAGACACACGTGGCTTTGGTACGGGGTGATACCACAATTCCAGTTCATGTCATACACCACACAGTTACATCTTTCCTAGCTACTGACCTCTGTGGTTTTGCAAGTAAAGACCAATTGCTTTGCAGATTGGATAAGGCAAGCTTATCTCTTCAGGGTGTTTCTGCCTTCAAATCATATAAATCTTTCGCCTTTTACTAAAGATTTCCGTGGAGAGGAACATTTCCGAGTTTCTACCCACTTTTTTTGTTTGTTTACTATATACATACCCACAATAGTTAGTTGAGTTAATTTCTGCTTCCCTTATTTATTACAAACATATTCACAACAGTTAGTTATTTCAGCAATTACTTGTCCAGGCATGTCTTGTTTAACTTTGGCCTGCTCATGTCAGCTAAACCAGCCCTACAGGGGATTAAGTAATCCCTCTGCATCCATTACTGCCTGATAAGTGCTGTGAGGCTTTGAGATGCTCTAGCATAGAATAGAAGAGAATGGTCATTAGTATAAATATTACCATTCACTTACCAGACAAGTACCAGTTCCACTGAACAGACTGATAAATCATTTGATAATTTGTTCCCTTTATTAATAAAAATGGAGGTACTGCTTTTAACTACAGGATGTTTTCAGTCATCACTAAATATACAGAGATCTCCAACCATAAAGAGGCTATAGAGAAGGGCATGCCACTGCCCTTAGACAACTGTGGACCCTGAATGTGCATGGAGATCCTAACTTCCTGGGACCTCTAATGGGATTAGGGCTCCAAGTAGATATTGTTCTCATGATTTTGAGAGGGAATGATGGTCCCAGTTTGGTTGTCTGTAGGGAACTCCCAGTCTCCTATTGGAGCCTGCCCTGCTAGTAACAAAAGACAGGATCCAGAAGAGATTTAGGTGCCTAAACCCATCTGTGGCACCACTGCAGTTCACAAAATTTCAGCTGCCCCAGTCCTGTAGTTACCGATACTCTCTGGGAGCCTAACTTTTTGCCATCAAAGTTCCCTAGATGCCTAATTGAAAAAGGGGAAGATGAGGAAACAATATAACAGGGTAATAACATAAGCCACAAGCAACAGAAAACCTAGGTCAAACAATGTAAGCTTAAAAAAAAAATTAAATTTCCACCTGGTCCCATACTCCAAGTTAAAATGCATAGCTCCATATTATACAGTTAAAAGGTGATATGTTAAGAGAAAAAATGATGTAGTTCACTCTCTTGGCATATGTTTCACAGTCGGATATTTGGGTTTGGTGGTCTTGGTCAACCCAAGAGAGGCGGACCCTGGTCAGTTCAAACCGTGGCCATCGGGCTGCTCATTGAGGTTCAGTCACTTCCCCATTGACATAGGCCAACTGTTCACAGGCCTGGCTGAGGGTGGGGTCCTCTCTTTGGTCCCAACTTTGTCTAAGGGTGCTTCTTCTATGGGCAGCATGTGCGTAGCGTCTCTCTCTGGCACAAATAGGCCCCAGGATTGGGCTAGCGGGTCCCCCAGCTTGGCCCTCCTGGGTCTCCCTTGAGGACCGTCTGGGCATGCAGGCCTTGGAGGCTCGCATCCTGCAGGATTCCAGTGAACCCTGGCCAGTCCTGCCTGAGAATGACTGGGTAGGGCAACTTTGGGGCTAGACCCACCATCATTAACCCTGGTCACTCTGTTCATGGTCACTGAGACCCAAGCACTGGGGTAGGACTTCACATCGCTGTGGATACACAGGAGTTGGATCTTGCCTAGCCAAAGGTCAGTTGGAGGGAACAGCCCATGGCATACATGACAGCAGCCCGAGTCCACCAGGGCGGAGACCTGTTTCTCGCCTAGGCCCACTGCGATGGTCAACTTGGCAGCAGGATGTTGACAGACACAGGACTCCCCCGTGCAGATCTTGCCAAAGGTGTAGTCCATTGCCTGGCATTGTCGCTGAAGGTGGTCGAAGTGGCTGCAGGTGAAACCAGGCCCAACCTCTGAAGGGCTGGGCCAGGTTTCAGGGTTCCATGGATGATCCGGTGGGCTCAGATTCACAGCCCTCCCTCCCCTGCCACTACCCAGGATGCCAGGACAGTCCACAGAAGATGGCTGCTGGTATGACCCTCATCACAGTTTGGGTTGGATCGAGAATCGGCATTAGGGCTGGGGGGTCCTCAGCAAGCCTAGGGGGTTCCTGGCTGGTGTCATAGCTTCAGCCCCCAGGGCCTTCACCGCCAGAAAGTATTCCATCAAGCCCACTGCCACCCTCAAGATGGCAGGTCGATGTCGAAGAACCCAGGCCCTCCTTGGGGCGGAGGCATGTGGACAAACTGCTCAAGGGTGACTTGCTCAGCCATGTCTGTCGTGGCGTGCCGCTCAGGCTGGAGCCACCAGCAGCAGGTATCTTTAAGTTCTTGAGCCATGACCCAAGATCAGGCCCCCGACAGGTACGTCTTCACCAGAAACTGGCGTTGAAAGGCCTCGGGGGTAATGTCCAAGGCATTGAGTATGGACACCTTTACTTGCCCATAGATAGTCTCGGGCCTCATCATTTGGTAACTCGCGATAGGCAGCCTGAGCTGTCCTCATCAGGTATGGGGCCAAGAAGGTGGCCCATTGGTCTGGCTGTTACCTGGCCATTGAGGCGACCCATTTGAAAGCCACCAAGAAAGCTTCCAGGTCATCCTCGGGCCCCATCTTTGTGAGCTGCCCGGTCATTGCTCCTCCAGGATTGGAGCCGGGAGAATGGGGGGCAGCCAGCTGCTGGAAGCACTGCCACTGCTGTTCTTGCCGTTGGGCCCCGGCTCCTGGATCAGCTGCTGCTACTGGGCTTCTAATTGCTGCTGGCTTTCTGCCCACCACTTCATCAGCTTGACCACCTCCATTCTAGCAGATTGGGCTGGTGGCAAGTTGGTAGTGCAACAAAGCCTCTCTTCTCAGGGGTGGGACACTGCCTGCATTCTCCACCATGTGTAGTGGTCTGTGGCCATCCCGCACTGTCAGTCTCAGAGGGAGGCCACACCCCCTCATTACATTGTACCTACAAGTGTAATGCTCAACAGGGGGATTGGCAGACTAACGTCTCTGGCCCTCTGGGCAGGGCAGAGCAATAAGCAGTCTATGGCCTAGCTCTCTGGCTGGGGCAGACAGTAGGCAAATGCAGACCATCCAGCCTAAGGTGAGTAGGCTGCCACCCCAGGGTTGAGGCTGACAGCAGGGGCTAGGGGGACCCTGTCCCACCCTACTCCACTAGGTCCGAGCCCAGGGACCTGACAGTGGTGGAGGGTTCTATCACTGGATCAGCAGGGATCCGTCACTGAAACCCGCTGACCTTGACTCTGGCAACACAACCTGACTAATGTCTGGTGTCTCTGGGCTATTTCCTACTACCCCTTCTGAGTGTTCCTCCATCTCCTGAGGTTCCTCGGTCTCCCTGGGGCACACGGCCAGCAGCAGTCCCAGTAGCTCCTCTGGGTATTGGTCAGTTGGCAGTCCCGGCACCTTCTCTGGGTCCTTGGCATTGTAGAGCTTGGTCTCTGGCGCAGAGCTTGGCAGCGGGCAAGGGATATCCGCTCCCTTCCCTGGGTTTCACATCCATAGCTTGGATGGGTCATTCAGTCCTTTGTTCAGAACTTCGTTTGTAGAAAAGTTACTCCAGAGGTAAGAAGCAGGAAAGAAGACAAAATGGAGTTGGAGACGATGCAGCTGCCCTTTATATTCCTCTTGCCATGTGGCTTATACTTCCTGTGTCCCAAACACAAGGTTCACAGCATGTGGCATGGAAAATTTAGAGTTCTGTCCATAGGCATGCCCCTACAAGTCTTGTGGACTCGTAAGGTGTAGTCCCTGGCTTTTTCAATGGGTTCATGGGCCATCAAGCAGGCTAGGCAGTGCTGATGCCAATCTGTCTGGGGGTGTCAAACATAGCACAAGTTTGGAAATACAGCTATACCATACGTATCTATAACTTACAATACAAAGGTGATACAAACATATAAACAAGATTATCATACTTGGCAAATTATAACATTTCCATAGACACCTTATATGGCATATATGGTCAGACTCATTGCAATTTTATAATATTGGTATCAACAATATCAAAGTTTCTCCCATATTCCATACAGCATCACACATCCAGTCTTGTAAAACCTGAGTGTATGTAAATAAGCCTTTCACATAGGTCTTTGGGAGTTGCAGGCTACAGCCCCACAGAATGGACAAGAGCTCCCACTACCATTAAAACAGGACCCCATGTTTGCTTTTGATAAACATTCTTTCTATTTTTAATGACTTTGTCAGCATAAAATGAACTGAAATGTGACCACTTATTACACTGAAAATCCTGCATTATTGGGCTGATTCCAAAGCCCATTCAAACTAATGGGACTCAAGCCACTGATCTCAACAGGCTTTAGATTAGGATCTAGAGGGTTTATATGAGGAGATGGTGTGGTCCAGAGAGGAGGGTATCAGAATGGGACTTAAAAGATGTGGGTTTCCCCCTGCCTTTCATGAAGCCACTTCAAGTCTCTGTGCTTCTGTAAAGGTAACTTTGTCTTGTCTACTTACATTGTAAATTCTTCTGGAAGGGGACAGTCTCTCACTGTGCATGTATCCTGGTAATTAATAACTGTACTTGCTAGTGTAGGAGAAATGGAAAGATAACTAAAAATGAAGGAAAAGGTCCAGTGTACTGGATTTGTTAGAGTGACAAGCAAAAGGCAAGTGGCATAAATCTTAAAGTCACTTACAAAACGGAATTCTAAAATTGATCTTCTGTTCTGCCATTTTTATCTTGACTTTGACCTTTCAATACACACACGAGTCTAAAAGAAAATGTTCTGATCTACTGAGTCTATGAAAGTCAAAAACTCCCCAGGAACACACATGAATTAGAATAATGTATAACTCTATGATTCCTAGCTTGCAAAGACTGTAATTCTACTTCCCTTTATCTTAATTTTTTTTTTAGGTGGTACCAAGAAAAACAAACATACATCTTATAAGGAACAGTTAACAAAGGGATGGTCTAGGTGATCTAATAGACCATTTGCATCCTTAATGTCTGATTCAGTGCATCCAGAGAATCATGACCTGTGACTCAACACAGGCCTCCACCCACTGAGCTGAGCAAGCAGCTTCATTAACGAAGGCAGTAAAGGTTTTAATCTAGATGTCTAAGAATTTCTAGTGTGCCCTGCCCCATATGGTAAACATATAAGACACAAGTACTTCTAATGTGTTAGAAAGAAGGGTAACACAAACCAAGGGAATATAAACTATAGACACCAGCTGGGTGTT